TAGTATATAATTAGTAGCAGTAGCAGCCATGCCCTTGAAGATTAATAGTTACAGTGCTAGAAATTCAAAATCTTGCTTATTGCCTGGTCTCCCTAAGATCTGGATGTCGGCATGTTTAGCCTTCCCACTTGCAATTATCCTCCCTACAAATTGAAATAGGATTAACTAATTATAGTGGTGCCTTCAGACATAAACCACATCAAACACCCTGCTAACCAAGAATTGTCCTATCTGCAAAAGTATGCCAGAGAGCTTTAAAATCTCTGGTATCTGTTTTGAGGCCCAGAACAAGGGGACTAAGCCAGCCCATAAAACCTCCATAACCTTATTTTCTTAAGATGCTGCTTTTAATAAGATAATCCTTTTATCAAATATATATATATTGTGGGTCTCAGTAGGTCCAACATAGAAATCAGCAGTAGGTCTATCAAAGCACCAGGACTCAGTGCTAGAGGCCATGGATTTAAATCTTGGTCCTGACATGAACTAGCCTGTAGCTTTAGCCAAGTAATTTAACTTTTTAGCCTTAGATTATTTAATCCCCCAAATGGGATAATCCTGCCTACTCCATAAAACTATTTTGAGAAATAAGAAAAATAGTATGTACAAAGTGCCTGACCCAGCAGGCACTTTATATATGTGTTGAATCTGAATAAAGGATATAGCCACAATTCCTTGATATGACAAAGCTTTCCAGAGATTGGTCCCACTCTTCCTAACTATTCTAATCTTCCACTAGGAAAATTCCCTATTCCACTCAACTCAGACTTCTTCCCAACTACCACCTTGCAGTGAATCAGGCTGCTTCCTGTTTTCTGGCAACCTCCTCCCCTACTGTATTCAGTAACCCTAACATCGTTCAAGACTCAGCTTAAAGCCCATCTTTTCCATGATGTTTAGTCTGACCACTGACTCTTTGTTTAAATATATTTTTACTAGAGGCCCAGTGCACAAATTTGTGCATGTGTGGTGTCCCTTGGCCTGGCCGGCGATTGGGGGCAATAGGGGCCATCTCACCCAGTCCAAGCCAACCTGGGTGGCCAGCCGGAGAGGGGCCATGGGAGGGCTCCAGGACGTGTCTAGCCTTCTCGCCTAGTCCTGATTGGCTGGACCCCAGAAGCAAGCTAAACTACTGGTTGGAGCTTCTGCCCCCCTGGTGGTCAGTGCACATCATAGCAACTAGTGGGTCATACACTTAGTATGTTATGCTTTTATTATATAGGATTGATTTCAGAGAGGAAAGGGAAAGGGAGAGATACAAATATCAGTGATGAGAGAGAATCATTGATCAGCTGCCTCCAGCACGCTCCACAATGGGGATCAAGCCTGCAACCCAGGCATATGCCCAGACTGGGGATTGAACTGTGATCTCCTAGTTCATAGGTCGATGCTCAACCACTGAGCCACACCACTGGATTGACCATTAAATCTTTAAACAACTCATGAGATACTTAATTATATACTTTAACAATATTATATATACTGGGGGTTAGGGGAGGCCAGAGGAATGTCAAAGGGGGGGTGGGGAAGAAGGAGACATATGTAATACTCTTTGTAATACTTTAAGCAATAAAAAAAGTATTATATCTGTTTGAACATGTCTTATTTCCTTTGGTATAGAATGCATTTCTAGAAGTACACCAAGACTTGTATACCTCATTATATATCCCCACAGTGACTCTCACAGGGTCTGAAATAGGACAGGGATCTCAAATTATTTGTTTTATCTAACTGAGGGATTCCTCAAAAGATAATTTGAAAACCCCTATTAAAGTCAATCTTTGTCATTTTATAGATGAAAATCTTGTCCTCAGATAGGAGAAGTAATATTCAAGGTCATATGAATACTTTGGTATTAGAGCTGGAAGCATAATTCAGGTCTCCTGAGGCAGAGACCAAGGCTGTCCTTCAACATCAGTTCTCCACATGTTTAGGACTACAGCTTTTAGCTGGAAACATGGTCACTCAGGATGAAAACTTCATCTCTTATCCTCCCTTTAGCTAAATGTGGATAAAAGTGTAAGAGTCACCTAACTGCATCTTCTCTTTTCTCCCACTAATCCCTTCATCCTTGCTGCCTGGAACATGGATGTGATGATACAACTCCACAGTGAATCATGAGATTGAGGGCCATGACCCAGAGATGGCAGAGCAGAAAGCTGAAAGAACCTGATACCCTAAGGTTTTCAAGGACCAAAACCAGAGCCAAACTGAACTGCCTACATCTAGACTTTTATATGGGAAAAAAATAAACTTCTATCTTATTTATGTTGCTGTCACCTTAGATATATATTTGAATATTATTGGCAGCTTAACTGATTCTATTATCCCTCCTATCAACTCTTTGATGCTCTTAGCTGTTCACATTGCCTCTAGACATATATCATAAGCTATTCTTTCATTCATTCAAGAATTCACTCAATAGCCATTCAAAGTTCATGGACATTCTGCCTAGCATAAATCTAAGAGGGGACTATGGTGGACACAAGGATTAAATGTACAGACACTGCGCTTAAAAGTTATGGGCATTGGATGAACTTCTCACTCTCTTAATTCATATCATGGTTCTTATGCCTGGCAAACATTAATCTCAGAATTTCTCTGGCAGTCCCATCTCAAATAATCTCACTGTTTCCAGTAACATTCTGTTGACCAGACCATTTGTGCTTAATATATTCCAGTTGCCTCTCTACATCCATTCTCTGCCCTTATCCGCTCTTTTCTTTGCCCAGGGAGGCTTATCTGTGTGGGTTACATCCATGGGCTCTCTTGCCCTCTGATTTCTGGTTGGGTTGGTCAATAAGAACCACTGGAAAGAGATCATAGGGAAGTAAGAGAATGAGCTCTATGTATTTATTTTTCTAACCTCCCTCCCTGTGGGGTCATTTTAGGCCCACTTTGTTCCTCAACTGAAGGCCACTGTCCCACTCAGGGTGGCCCACAACATGACTCTTTACTATTGGGTTCTGGTAACCATTCCTTCCCTTCACACCATTGAAGCTATTACTAGCTCCAGGGAATGGCACTATATCCTGCGGTTTCCCCACACACTGCCCACACCTTGTAAATAGCCCATTTATTAAGCCCTACACAAATGATCCTAATGTGAGGCTGCCATCTGTTTCCTGCTAGCAGGCTGGCTGATACAACATGCGTCCCAATTTTCAGTTCAAAATATGTAGGCACTAGACATACAGCACCCATCAGAATCATCATTAAGAAAGGTGTTAGAGTAAAGGGAAGATATTTAGCAAAATTTAGTGCATAGAGAATCTCAGACTATAAGAATAGCATCATGACCACTAACTTTTGATACAAGATTTGGTTCTCATGTACCTGAGCTATGCACAGTCCTCTTCATGTATATATTTTCTTGGGGGTGGGGGGTCGGGGGGGGTGTATCCTGGACCAAACACTGTTTTTCAAGCAGTCTAGTCTTAAAATATTTTATTTAGAAGTGGAACCCAATTCTAGATGGAACCCACAGTCACTGGGCAAATAAATTTTTCCACCAACATGTATCAGAAACTCAAGTATAGTATTTTCTGCCAATTCCACCAGTATCTTCATTTAGGATCATTAAAGTGCTAAATATACCTATTTCATAAGCACAATCCACATTTGTTGAAGAGTGAAATGTAAAACCAAATTATCATTTCTTATTCTTTACTAGTAATCAAAGTATTGCTGATTACAGAGACCAAAACCTATGCATCCAATGTGAAGAACAATTTCAGATGCTGGGTCGTGCAGGGAGGGCAAGAGGAAAGGAGAAGAGAAAGGTGTGGTAGACAGAACAATGCACCCCCCTCCGAAAATGTCCAAATCTTAATCCCTAGAACCTCTGAATATGTTATCTTACATGAAAAAAGGGACTTCATAGACATGATTAAGTTAAAGATCCTGAGATGGACATACTCTTCCAGATTATGTGGGTGAGCCTAATATAAATCACAAGGGTCCTTAGAAGTGAAAGAGGGAGACAGGAAATTTGGTGTCAGAGTGATGCAGCATGAGAAAGACTCAAGCCACCATTGCTGGCCTAGAAGATGGAGGGGAACCATAAGCCAAGGAATGCAAGCAGACTCTAGAACAGGGGTGGGGAACCTTTGTTCTGCCATGGGCCATTTGGATATCTGTCACATCCTTTGCTAAATATAATGAACTTAATATAAATTTATATTGCTATGGAAAAAAAGCTCCTACATTCATGAATTTTGAGCCCCTCCTGTGGTTGCCTTGGCAGGGCCAGACCAAATGATTTTGTGGGCCTTATACAGCCGGAGCTGTACATTCCCCACCCCTTTTCTTGAAACTAGAAAAGGCAGGAAAATGAATTCTCCCCAAGAGCCTGTAGAAGGAATGCAGACCTGCTGATATCCTGGTTTTAGACCAGTGTGACCAAGTTTATCCTAAACTGTAAGATAATAAATTGGTGTTGTTTTAAGCCACCAAGTTTATGGAAACTTGTTACATCAGCAACAGAAAACTGATACAGAGTGTATGACTGAAATGTCCAGACCTGAAAGCTACCAGGGGAAGGAAGAGGGGCTGGGAACTGATGGACGGCGGAGTCAGACCACATTGCGGGCAGTACATCCAAACTGTGCACCACTTGAGAACCTGCACTGTTGGCAAGTTAAATTCACTAAAAAACAAATCTGCTCTTCATCTCAGAGGCTCACACTCATAAAATGCTCCCATGCCCTTTGTGTCACCCAGTAGAAGCATTTTCTTTTTCTCAGAGTTTCTGGAAATTAGCAAAACTGTGTTTTGTGAGAGATCTTTATCGGCTTCATTCAAAAGGATACGCATCTGTCTTATACCTTATTCTGTAGCTTCCTGGTGGCCATATTGTAGCAATGAATTACACATTAAAAACAACAATTTTTAAAAGTTCCAAAGAACAGAGTCTATAGAGCACCAGTACCCATTATTTGCATTCTATGAAAACCCACGGCATGCTCTCCCACAGCTGCCTGTCTCTGAATGGGCCTTACCACGCTCTGGCCCAGCTGCTCCCGAAAGAAATAATCCATGTTTCTCTTCTGCAGGCTGTCAAGGTAATGCTGAAAGCGGGTGTATGTATATGGGTAGCAGTAGGCAAATTGGTAAACATCTTCTTCTCGGTCAAAACAAAATGCAAAGGACATCACATAATTCTTCCTATGGTCTGGGCAACGGTAGTAGTAAACATTTTTAGGTGGCAGCCTTTGCCTGAAAGATACAAAGAAAGACATTTGGGTATTTCAGACAATCGTTCTAGCTTCAAATGGGAATAAGCAGAAATAAATGCACAAGAAAAACTATAACATCAAGACCTCAGGTGGTAGCCAGGGACAACAGCTCACACCACCTGTGGTCGCCAAGAGACTGGAATCTGGCAGCACTCTTCAAATTCCAGCCCTACCCTTTGTCAGCTGCTTGGACAATGCAATGTTACAGAAAGCTGAGCAAGTGGTATTCATTGTTTATTCTTATTGTGAGCACCTTTTATATGCCCAGGCATCACGCTAGACTCTTGATGTGTGAGGGTAAATAAGATAGGCAAGGTGTTGTCCTCATGGAGTATATCCTATAGTGGGAAGCACTCAATAAAATATTAAAACTAAGTATACAAAATAGTCATAGACTCTAAAAATGCTTTGAGGGGAAATAAAGAGTGTGATAATATAATGACATCAATATGGGATGCCTGCTTTTTCTAGGAGAGTCAGGTCTTTGTATTATAAGACTATTTCAGACCTCTCAAAAGAATGTGCATTGTGAATATTCAAGGGAGGAGAAATTATTCAACACTTCTTTAGATTATTACTATTATTTTTCTACAGAACATTTCACGAGACTAGTTTTCCACAGAAGCACTTTGGGAAATTCTGCTTTTAAAATATGCTGTGCAGGCAATTTTGCTAAGCCATCATGCTCATTCTCCAAAAAGGAATACTAAAACCATACACGAGAAAAGGCAAAATGTTCCAGTCATAATTCCTATAACTTCTTTATATTCTCCCACCTCACAGGTTCACTACACCCCGCCACGCTGTATGACATTGAAAGCATTCACACGTACAAAGAAGGCCTCTCATTTCTGTCCCTTCAAATCCTGTTAATCGTACAAAACCCCTCACAAACTGTGCCTTTCCCAGGGTCATCCATTGACAATTTGAGGCCAGTTCAGCTCCCACATTTTGTAGTAACTTGCTCTTTTATTGACTGCTTCCTAAGTCTTATCCATCAGGATCAGTTTGGAAGATGATTGAGGACAAACACATTGTTTGTTTGTTTGTTTATTTGTTTGTTTGTTTGTTTTTGGGGGGCGAGGGGTTCTGGCACAGTGGATGGGAGTTGTGAGGTTCACCTGGAATGGCTTAGCATTCAACTGAGAAGCCAAGAGGCACAAAAACATATGGAGGAAAGTGTGAGGAGGAGGGCACCAGGCATGAGGTTGATACAGAGAAGCATCAATCAGATGCTCAAACCTCAGAGGGAAGGTAGGGGAGGGTGGGGGTAATGGGGAGAGATCAACTAAAGGACTTGTATGCATGCATTAAGCATAAGCGATGGATGCAGACAACAGGGGGTGAAGGTGAGGACAAGACTGGGGGGCGGGTGAGGGGACAATAGGGGGATAAAGGCACATTTGTAATACCTTAATCAATAAAAAAAAATTTTAAAAAGTGAGATGATTAACCATAGAGCTGCCTCAGAGAAAGTGGAAAGTTTTGGTCAGAGAAGTAAGCTGGAGAGAGAACAGACAGAGAGGATAGATGATGGTCTACATTTGTAATGTGATTGAACGTGCAGGAATATGAGGTTGCTGGAATAAGCTAGTCTCAGGGTTTCAGAGTTGTATGCAGGGAGAATGCTAGTGAAAGTGGCTTTGAGGTCTCCAGCCAAAGTTCTGTGATAGTCACTTCAGGCCCTGACTCAGAGGTGTGAGTCTGAGCCTCTCAGAGCACAAGGTGAGCATGCCTTCATCCCCAAGTGATTCCTACAGTCATAGGTCCCTCAGGTTATGATGCTGATCTTTTCAACTCTTCATTTACTAGTATATCTGATAAGGGCCCATGCTTTAAATCTAATCACCTCAGTTTTCTCCTATTCTAGCCAAGTTTAGTAACTTGACTCTGAGATCCTGCCATATCCACCAAATTTGATTATGTGCTATCAGGAGAATTCATCTAATGCCTACAGCTGTCACAGCTTCCCTCCTGAGTGGGTCGGATGCCTAACCCGATTTGCAGACAGAGTGAAGGTAATGGGCCCTGGGGTAATCATTCAAGGAAGCTGAGATGTTGCTCAGGGCTTAGATTTTCCAGACCCTGCTACAGGCACAAACAAAAATCTATGTGAGAAGGGCTCAGCAGGACAAATTCATGAGGGCTTTCAAGTACTAGTAATGCAAAGAATAAAGGAAAAGAGGAATGGGAGTGTGTGGGAGAAATGTGTCTCTCATTTGGAATGCACTTCTGGTTTTCTCTTATTTTGCTTTTTATAGTTTCACTGTCTCAGGCATGGTGTTAAATGTTTTATATGCATTATCATTTAATCATTGCAATAACTCTCTGAGCTAGAGGCTATTAACATTCATTTTACACAGCTGAGAAAATAGAAGCTCAGAGAGGTAAAATTCCCCGGGGGTTGCAATGTTAGTAAGCAGCAGTCTGTAGCAGACATAGGCTAGTGCAGTGGTCGGCAAACCATGGCCCCTTGAGTATGGCTCTTCCACAAAATACCACGTGTGGGCATGCCCATACAGTGCGATTGAAACTTCGTGGCCACACTCAAGGGGCCAAAGAGCCGCATGTGGCTCGCGAGCTGCAGTTTGCTGACCACTGGGCTAGTGCAACTCTGAAGTCTGTGCTCAAGGTCCCTGTAGCATCTTGTCACTCAGCTTTCTCCCCTTACCACCCGACTCAGAGTTTTACCTCCTGCTTCCAGATAAATCTGATCACACAGTACTCGCCCTAAAACTCTCCAAACAACTCTGCTTCCTCACATGGCAGTTTGGCCCACAACACTCCCCGAGATCACCCTGAAATCCCAGAATCAACAGCCATTTCTCCATCCTTGTGCCTATATTTTATTTATATGAGCAAATTAAGTCCCTAACACAAGTTTGTGTCATACCTCCAATACCTCTGTGTCTTTGTATTTGGTATTTCCTCACCTTGGACTGCCTGTCCTGCCATCTTAATTACTTGGTAAACTCTGACTCACAGATGTGGTATATTATAGATTGTCAATAAAGGTTTAAATATTTTTAAATTAACTAATTGATTAATAAACAAACGAATGTATAAATAAATGCCTATCCTTTAACATACCTCCTCAGAAGCCTTCTCTGACTATTCATTCTTCATTAATTTTCTCTACTTTGACATATATTTAAACATGTCTTATCACCTGGTTTGTTTCTTAACAATGAGCATCAAAAGTAAATGGAAGTTTCTTCAAAGAAAAGGTAGGATTCTTGAGTACAGGAACAACGTCACCTTTTCCTTCTCTCGCTAGCAGTGGTATAGAGAGGTGTCAAATAATACTTGCTTATTCTAAAAAGCAATGGTAAAAGAAAAAGGAGACTCGTCTCCTAAGATAAATGGTAGGAATCACAGGGGCCAAATCTTAACTCAGCATGAAGTCAAGACTCTTTTAACACTGGGCTGAAGGGAAAGAATAAAGGTCTACATCACAGGGGAGGACAAATGTGGGAAGCTTCAAGGCATCCCATAAAGAAAGTTCCTGTACTTGGTGCGAGGTTAGACAAGGCAGCCTTCTGATCTCATTTAACACAGATAGTCTGAGATACCAATGAAAGCAATAATGATAATAATAATACTAATTCTTCTCACCGAAACCGGTTTGGCTCAGTGGATAGAGCGTCGGCCTGCGGACTGAAGGGTCCCAGGTTCGATTCCGGTCAAGGGCGTGTACCTTGGTTGCGGGCACATCCCCAGTGGGAGGTGTGCAGGAAGCAGCTGATTGATGTCTCTCTCTCATCGATGTTTCTAACTCTCTGTCTCTCTCCCTTCCTCTCTGAAAAAAATCAATAAAATATATTAAAAAAAATAATAATACTAATTCTTAATATGTATATTAGGAATTATATTATTCACTGACCATGTGCTAGGCCATTCTAAGTATTTTATAATGTATTAACTCCTTTAATTCTCACAACAATCCTCTGAAGTTATTCCTATTATCTCTATGATAGCATAAAAATAAGGCAGGATAGGGTCAAGAATGCATGACTCCACTGAAGACTCTGGGAAGGAAATAGTCCATAATACCTGATCCCGCCAGAGATTCAGGAAGAGTCTAAGACCTGTGTGCTCTCAGAACTCAGTGACTACAGGGTGGCCCAGCTCTTGGAACAAGCCATCATCCTGGATCCTTCCTGGTGACTGAAGAGGACCTGTAACTCACATCCTCAGATTCAGATGAGTGTGCACATGTGGATGAGTGAGCACACACACTCAATCATAGTATACCTACTTTTCTATGATAGCCCAATTTTCATTCTATCCATTTGACTGCATTAGACTGAGCACTACATGAGAGCAGGTCTGTATATTACTCATATTTGGTTCTGCAGGATCTATCCAGAGCCTTGCATGAAGGAAGTGTTCAAGAATGATTATGTATTGAATAAACTAATATATTCATGGTTAACTTTAAGAGATTAACAACTACAGTAAATAATTTAGACACACCAGCCAATATAGATTGTGAACTCCCCATATGAAGCTGTGAGGCTTTCCCTGAATACATTATCTTCTCAAAAGCCCTCCTGCCTTTTTAAAGTGTTGATTTATCTTTAATCGCCTTTCCCATACTTTTTCTATATAATGAATTCTTATGTAGAAAAGTAAGGCCCAGTTCACATGACATTTCCTCTTTGAAGTCTTTGTCAGCAACTCCAGGATGCATGAATTGCTCTAAATACTAATTGCAGATATGGCTGTTATTTCTGATTCATCTCAAAATCAATAGCACTTAGCACAGAGATTGGCCCTGATGAGGAGTTCAAAACATGTTTCTTAAATGAATGAGTGAATTTATAACTTAATGAATGAATGATTTCTTCCCGTTTACCATCCTCTGTGCCTTTTCTCCAAAATGTCAGTTCAATGCATCTTTGTTTTGGAGGTTACCTGAGCACAGAGGAGAACCCCAGAACCTACAGGAGTACAGGGTTCTCTAAAACAACAACATTC